AGGAATGATCAATAGATCTATACTTAAAACTAATACGTTCGTGGTGATGTAATGAATTTAGAGGTAATCAGTAAAAAAATAAAACCAATCATTCGCAAATTTTGCCCAAATATAGTAACACCTCACATCTTCCAGTGAAGTCAGGGTGTGGTGAGCCTAGCGCCATTCTCCCCACTTTATAAGCAAAATCAATGGGAACTATTTGACACATCTGCAATCAACAAATATTTAAGATTTTGTGAGGACTTCACCATTGAAATTGGCGAGAGCAATGGTTAAACTGACACGTGCATGGCAGTTAGATGTTGTAATACATCGGGTAAAAGTGAAAAAAAATTTGTTATTTCACCTTTCCGATTCATGATCCACGACGGGTTCGTCGTTGGATTGCCAACTGGAATAGGGAAGATTTACCATCGAACTTCTGGCCAGAGAAAAAATATGTAATATGTAGCCAACATTTTAAAGAAGAATGTTTTCAAGATGACTTTGGATATCAGCGAGTAGTGACACACACAAGATACAGCACTGGAACTTGCTCAACAGACGATACTGTGCTGTGACGTCACAAACCGGTAGGTGGCATTACTGTTCTTTGACAAACATGGATGTTTCCGGTAAAGAACATTCAAATGAAATTTACTCTTAATTAAAACACTTATCATTTATTGAACAGGATGTTATAATTTCATATTCAAAGTACTTTCAGAAGTTTGAATTCTGAATATGACCGGACTTCTACTTAAAGCCTTTTTCACGTAATTCTATGACTTTACTCTCATAATATCACAATTCTATAATCTTATGCCTTTATTCTCGTAATATAATTACTTTTTTTATTATTATTCTACAACTTTATACTCATATTATATTTCTCTCCTAATACAATAATTCTCTGTAGTCTTAATACTCAAAGCCTGTATCCAAATAGAATACTAATTTAATATGGTATCGGCACTAAATATAGTGTTGATTGGATATTTTTACTCTTTTCAATTTTTTATTTTTGGATTACTTGCACATCGAAAGGATAATACCTTAGATATCATTAAAATATTGTCAGATTGTTTTGCATTTATTCGCACACTTAATTAACTAGCTTAATGAGTCTGCTGAGAAAGCATGTTCCATGTTTAAGTTGAAAAACATTTCTTTTATACCTTTAATTATTTATTTATTTATTTTTTTCTATCACATCAATAGCGAGTATAGTGTCAAGTATCAAATATTTTCTTTTGCATTGATATTAAGTGTACTATTTTAGTTTCCTGACAACCTTTACTCATAGTATACTAAAATAACCGCACAATGTACAGTGTAATTTCAGTAATCTAATGGCTGATCATCACTGCAGTAAAGCCTTAAAGGGATCCTTTTTAATCAATGTTTTTGCAAGGTTTTTAATGTATTATTATATCCCAATCAGTGTGAATAAATTAGTGGTACCGTAAACTACTCCCCCTGATACCAGTAGAAACTCCTCACCCGTGTTAAAAACCCAAACTCATCTTAACGCACCTCATCTTAACATTTATGAAAGTAACTGCCCATAAATGACTAATTCTATGTCACCAGAAACTTATTAAACAGTAATTGGATGTTATCGCCTAAAATACTATGCAATAAATGAGGACCCAGTGTCCAGCTAAATTTAGGATAATGTGTCTCCAGAGGGTGTGTGGTAAACTGAAGCCTTAATTGAGACTTAAAAATGCAATATCACACTGCAAAAGATGAATACCTCCCTTATCGCTCATGATTTCCTAAGCTTTGGAAACAGAAAAGGTTGGGTCTTTTACCAACTGATAATATATGTAGAAACAGGAGAAAATGTAGTAGGTATGGTTTGCTAAGCGTTATCATGGCAACCTGAGGTTTTAAATAGTTTTTGAAGATGTTGTAACACCTTCTAAGGCAAGGGTAGGTAATGTTTTTCAGTCCAAGACCCCCAGATTGATCAAGAGAGGGGACAAGGACCCCCTGACCGTGTCGCCCCCAGAGGTCAGTGAGGTACTACCGTTAGACATGGTCCGAGTTGCTGACGACGAACATTTAACCTATTGAGCCCACAGGGTTTAAGAACTAATTTCCACTTGAAAATATCCAACAAATTACATCAAGAACAACTCCAAGGTTATCAGTTCTGAATGTAAACTTTCGACACTTGTAAAAAGGTACCACAGATGCTATTTTTTTTGCATGAATTGTTTTATGATTTGGGTCACAAAATTTTCACCACAGTATTGCAAAACCTATGCTCACATCTCCCACATTTAAGACCTCTCTTTTACAGCTGAAAGCATTTTTTAAAGAGATGCCAGAGAATGTGCTGACATGATTAGAGTTTTCACTGGCTGGACAACACATAGAATAGCAGAAAGCTATCTCTCCCCCAGCTGCTGCTGCACACTACTTGTCAGCTGGCTGAAAAACAGGCTATTACACTTTTCTCAAGCTTACAAAAAAAAAATACCGTTGTTATTGGTGTTATGGTATATAAACAATATTTACTGATTTACATCATACTGTATATATTTTCTTAACAATGAATGAACAACCACACAACTGACAACAAATACTACATTAGCAACACCCTTCAGAAACACAAATGGCAACAAGATGGAAAAAAAAATATATTGGTTATCAATATTGACCAGGTTTTATTTTTTGTAGCAAAGCAGATAAATGACCAACAGTGAATGATAATGATATAGATGTTATATTGTGCATGCCTTGTCATAAAAAAAATACTTTGTTATAAAGTGCAGTATGTGAAACAAAGGAATTATATCCTCTGGATGAAGTATTTAAAAAAATAATTTAATATTATTCAATTTAATATGAATTAGTTTGGTTAATTCTATACCTTTAATAATAGCTATATTATTCTATATTATCTTATATTGCAGATGATATGTAATATTTTTTAGAGTAAAGGAGTTCATTGCAATTTTGCGTACATACTGTAATATTCTGAAATTGTATTATGCACCCTCAAGATAATATACTGAGGCTAGCTGAAACAGGTATATGACTAAACAACTAAGAACGAGAATTTGCACTTTTAAACGGCAATTCAAATAATATAAATGCACAAATATCTTTACCTAAAACATGTATCGCTTTTGCTAAAACACACTCATTATTTTTTCCCAAGAAGCTATTCTGCATTCTGGATGCAAGTGATTTTCAAGTAAGCATTGAATCAACAAGACAAGAAGCAGAGAAGCCAAAACATTCCTGCATGGATGGTTTTGAAAAGGTCAATTAATATCTATGCCAAGACAACAACAAAGTGTCTGTCTGCTTGTAATACAGGTGGCTAGGCTCGGAGCATCAAAATTGTTGTTGTCTTTCTTGCCAGCTGACTGGTGCAGAGCAAAACAACTAAGAGCTTCCAAGAGATTTAGACAAAAACAAAGATGGAAGGAATTGGTGACAAGAGAGGAGAAACGCACAAATTGGCTGGATATAAGACTTTTATCAAGTCTTTTATGTGAAACAGAGGTACTCTACAGTGCAGATAAGACAGAAACCCACTGAGGACATAGGCTGGTATTTTGTAGTTATTTTTAAATGTGTATATTAATGACAAACCGTGCAATCATACCAAAAGACACTGCACCTGAAAGTTTCAATCTCAATTTGATGCAGAACTAAATACGTCCAGACTCTTGGGCATAAATATTTGATCCCTCTGAAAATGACAGCCAATTATTCTGCCTCACTGTAACTTCTGTCTTTCAGAATTATTTAAGTGATAAGATCTTGCACTGTCTTCTACCAGTGAGGCACCTTTATTCTTTGAGTGAAAAGAGTGAAGGTAAGAGGTTAGAAATAAAAGCAGCTTATGCCAAAGATAGGAATCCATGCGTAAAAATGACTGATTAAAATAATTAGTGATGTGGAAATGGTGTGGAACAGTAACAAGCAAACACAGAGTGCCTGGGGTTGGGGGGGGTTGTCCATCTGTAAATGAGGACTAAGACTTAGAACAGTGCATTTTTTTTATTTTACAGAAGGCCTTACAGCAGAAGCACCCAAAAAAAAAAAAAAAAAAAAAAAAAAAAAAAAGGAAAGAAAAAGCTTAAGACATTTACCCAATTAAACCCCTCCAAACAAAAAGCAGCCCTCAGAAAAAATGTGTCAGCTCCAATAGATGTATCATTAAATTACATTGTGCTTTGCTTGCTTGAGTGGCTCTGTTAAAAAAAACAAATCCTTGTAAACACTCAAGGAGGTTGGAAACAGTGGCCATGTATGGAAATGGGTTTAGTTTGAGCATTGCTTCAGAGCAGCAGATGCAGCAGCCGCTCTATTGTCTCGGAAACAGTCCTTCCAAATAAGTCCACCCGCTTCACCACCTGGTGCCTTCCACATACAATATTAGTTTAATGGCCCATATGCATTTATAATGTGTCTATGATTGCCTCCTGAAGAAGAGTTCAAAATGACATTACCATAATGGGATTTTAAGTTTGCAGTGAAATATGAATAAAACATAGCAAAAATTTGCAGACTTCTTTAAAATGAATTATGAGGTATTTTCTCTGTTTTAAATTTTCTCCAGGTAGATAATCATCCACTGAGGAGCTTTTAATGAGCGGCAAAAGCAGAACTAATTGTCACTCTCTCCTGGCTTTAAATAGGTGCCATCAAAAAGCCACTTTAAATGAGAGAGGCTGTGGAACAAAGGCTCCTCCAGTCTGCACTGGCCCCTCACGCTGCCAAGCCAACAATGAGGAGAAGGTGACAGGGGAGCACTCTGTTGGCAACCAGAGCATCATATTTAAAACAAACTATGAACAAGGTTTAAAGAGATTAGGGGAAATAATGCAAAGAAGACCATTTATCAAAGGAAATGTAATAATGTCACAGAATGTCAGACATCTGTCTGCCTTCTTAATTTCTACTCAAGTCAGAATAACCAGGCTGGGTGGGTGGGGTGGATATTGCTGCCCCGCATATTAAGTGTAGAAACAATGCAGGGCGCTACTCACCTTGGTAGGAAGTGCTCCGTTCTCTTGACAGTTTGCAAAATTCATGTGGGTAGGTAGGCAGCGGGGAGCAAACAGAGAGGGTGACTGTAATCCAGCTCCGCTCAGTAGAAGCGCTGCCTTTGTGGAGGAGGCTGCATGGTGTCTTTCCTCCCTCCTGTCCGGCGGATCGGGCTTCTCCGGAGCGCGGCAGGTCACGGGGATGCCGCTCTCAACCGATCTGTCGGAGGAGCATAGCTGACCGGGCGGCTTCAGATACTTAATGCTCCCCTCTCAATGCCCTCCTCTCTTCTGGCTCTCTCTCTCCTCCCCCTCCCTGCTCCTCCTCCTTCTCTCTCATACAGGAGCTCTCCCCTCCTCCTTCTCCTCTTCCTCCCAACACATGACGTGATGCAGCCACCGTCTCCAATAGCAACCGTATCCCCCATCACCCCTATTACCCCCATTACCAGCTCTCATCCCCTTCAGCACCCCCAGGCTGTCCATGGATCCCTGACTGGCGCATGGAGGGGACTATTCAAGCACCTTGGTCTGGTCTATTGGTATTTTTTTCTCTCTGCTGAGTTCCCCATGGGTCACACTGAAGATAAGCACCTTGCATTTCATAGATTGCCATAATATTTGGTTTAATTATATCTGCTGGCAGCAATACAGAGTTTTCAATATTAGCTCCCATGCTGATATGTATGGCCAGACTTTTAATTCCATGTGGCCGGATTTAATGCTGTATACAACCAACAGGAAATAGGAATAATAATAAAATTAATGATAATATTATCAATAACAAAAGGTAAATTTTAAGTATCGGCAACTTATTTCAATAATTTAATTTAAAAGGTGAAATTTTTTTGTTTAGTTTGATAACAATACTCATAGAAAAATGAAAAATAAATAAGTTCCTCAAATGTTAAAGAGGTCAAATGATTGCATTTAAAATATATAAATGTTGTGTTATATAATGCCTTCAACAGCCTATGCGTAGTTTTAGAAGGCAAATGACCTACCGGTAATATCTTTGGGTGGGTTTAAGTGTCACATTGTATGACACGGTTACACTGATCCCAGCTGACACTTGATAACAGGGTCTCTACTTTCCAGGTTACCTTCTCTAACACAGCAAGTACTCTTGAATCATTGCACTGTGTTCTTGTTGCGTGTCCGCTCTGGCTTCTTAAACTCCCTGTTGGTCAGGCAGTACAAGCTGATCACACTGATACTGGTTCTACTGGAGGTTTTTTTCTGTTAAAAGGGATTTTTTTTCTCTCTACTGTCGCTACATGCATATAAGGGATAATGGATTGTTGCAAAGTAAACAACACTATGCTGTCTACTAGGTTTTCTAAGACAGTCTGATTGAATTATGAGTAAGAAACATGCTAAAAAAAAATGGGCCACAAATCGGATTGTGCATGGACTGCATAATGTACCCATGAATTGACTTTTTGAGATGAATTGATAAGAACTTTGCATAAAGTGTGGGACCCACCCATAAGGGACCTAGATTTTTTTCTCACACTGAATTACTTAACACTTATTTAAGACCTAATTAAAGGTTACGTAACGTCCAGCTTGCATTTAGTCACCAGATAGGACTGAGGCAGGAAGCTAATTGAGAGCTCAGGCAGTTTTAGTACACCTCTGTTAGAAAAATAAAATAATTATAAAAAACCTATTTAATATGTTGAAATATTATCAAACATATTAAGACAATAGAAATACATATTTGACCCACATACACATTAGCTAGATGTTGAAACTGCATGGGATCTGAAGCAAAAGAAGGATACAAGCTTTGAAAAAAAGGAATTTTCTGGGAAGAGAAAAACTGCTGAACACACAGATTAAAGAAATTGACCAAAGACTACAAAACTACTTTTTTATATCTGCAACATATTTACAAAGTATATTGCACTGAATGGACAATTGTCAGTAAAACACAATTTCATCAAAAAGTTTGTCTTTTTTGCAATTTCTTTAGTTATACAGTAATACAGTATATATATATATTTTTTGAGTTTTTAAGAAATTAAGAAACCCTAAATGTCTCTACATCATCATTGTGGAAGACCACTGACCTGACAGTTGTTCAGAGGAGATCTCAGTAACCAGCAGTCATTGACACTCTCAGCCAGCAGTGTTAGCCAGAAATATAACTTCTAAAGATGCTAATTACTCAGAATGGTGAAGCCAAGAATGTAGAAGGAATAATAGCTGAAACAACTATGTAGGGTAGAAAAAAGGTAACGTCGGCAACAGGGGTACTGACATCCAGTCTTTACCATTGCCACAATTCTTGAGTGTTAAGCTTTTTGTGAGCTCCATATGTCAGTAGTATTTCACTTGGCCTAATGAGAAAAAAGACCGGACTGCGCTCTTTTCAGCTGAGAGTAAGATTGCTAAAGTAACTTGTATAATCTGTCTCCCGTCTTGATTTCCATCAAATGGAAATGGGAATGGGAATTTTCCACAGTCAGTAATGATTTTGTAAGCCATTTCTTTGGGTTAAAGTGATCCACTGTCCTTTAACCAGCCTCAAGCTAGCAAAACACACTTAATGTTTGATAAAACGCTTTTAGAGATGCTGCTTTCATTTACCATCAATTGGTTTGAAGATCAGGGTATCGCTGTGTCTCAGCTGATGGACAAACCACCCCAATCTAAACCTGAAAAAAAGTGGAATAATCCAGAGATGAGGGATAGCACACCTAACTATGCAGACTCCAAATATTAAATAGACCTGACCTTATTTAACCCTATTTAACCCTTCCAGCACAGCTGAAGGCTGATCCTTCATAATTAGTTTAATAAAATGAATCTCAACAAAACTTCTTTGTGCATTTCTTTGTGCGTGTACTTTAACAAACAATTGCAGACTTTTCAGTTGGCCTACATTTGCATATGAAATTTTTTATTATTATTATTAATATTATTAATATTTACTATTCTAATATTATATACTAATATTATATCAAATATATTATTGTTCCTTATGTTCCTAACAGAGCACTTGGTTCTCAATCTGCAGGTTTACTAGTGGTTCTTAGAATTTCTAAAAGTAGAATGGGAGGCAGATCTTTTAGTTATCAGGCTCCTCTCCTGTGGAACCAACTACCAGTTTTAGTCCGTGAGGCAGAAAACCTGTCTACTTTTAAGGCTAGGCTTAAAACTTTCCTTTTTGATAAAGCTTATAGTTAGAGTGGCTCATGTTAGCCTGAGCTATCTCTATAGTTATGCTGCTACAGGTTTAGACTTCTGGAGGACATAGGGACCCCCATTTTATCATTCTGCTTAATTCTATCTCTATGAAGCAATCTGTTAGTTTAATCTCTGACGTTATGCTCTCTCTGCTTTTTCTCATAGTAGCTATACTTCGTCTGTTCCTGTTTGGCTGTGACACCATCCTGGAGAGAAATATCAGCTGTGCTGCTGCCATCAACATCATTGTTTAAAGATGTTCGAGATTGTTTTTCAGTATAGTCCTGTTTCTTTCAGCTTGACTGCCTGGCTGTGTGTTTCCTGGACGGGGCCACCTTTTACAGCTGCTTTTTGTTTTTCTGCTTCTGTGTCCTTATACCCCAGTCGGCCTCGGCAGATGGCCGCTCACACCGAGCCTGGTTCTGCTGGAGGTTTCTCCTGTTAAAAAGGAGTTTTTCCTGTCCACTGTCGCTACAAGCATGCTTAGTGTGAGGGATTGTATTTGAGTGGATGCAACCAAATGGTTTTCCTTGGGTAGAAAACTTTGAATCAATTTGACTGTATGATCTGGTGAACTGTAAAGTGCCTTGAGATGACATGTGTTGTGAATTGGCGCTATATAAATAAATTGAATTGAGTTGAATTCCATATGCTTCTTATCTTTTGGCTCTCATCACTTTTAAGAATTAACAATCAAAATGAATTTAAATAAAAACCTGAAATGAATCATTGCATGTCATGAATCTAAATAAAAATATATGCTTCACATCTTTAACTGTGTCCTGACAAAACAACTTCTTAATGACATTTGAGGACAATTTAAAAGGACACTATTTCTAACCTTAAATGTGACATAGTAAATAAGGAAAATTGAATGAAGATTGCTTTTGGGACTACTTTATATTAATTTTTCCAAACTTCATGATGGAGCTTTCTTTGATCGATACAATTTACTTAATAAACTGAGGTTTATCATTTTTTTGAATGTGTGTTAAACAGAAACAGTTTTATGTTATAAAATGTACATTTAATTTGTGATCACTAATCACAACTAAGTATCTTTTAATAATTAATTCTTATATTTACATCTTTAATCCTAGAACTAAAGCTATCATCTGGGTTTGTTGTGGAAAACGAAATTCATTCGCTGTATTCCATCCAATTGGCTTGTAAATATCGGATGCAGAAGAAGCTATAAGTCAAGGAAAACCCTTATCTTTTTTTGCATAAATTATAAAAATATAAGACCTGACTTCTTTCTTTTTGTTTTAAGGTTAGGTCTTATTTAGGTCACACAGCGTGACAGTATTACTAGCCGCAAGGACGAATTCTGAGGTGTTGTTAGTGTGATGCTGGAGGTCATTCTGACACCACTAGATTTCTCAAAGGAGGCTTCATTCCTTGCTGCTGACACCCTGGCAACCCTCTGCAAACAGAATGAGAATCAGCAACCCCAGCCAAGCAAGATTCATCATCATCATTTAGTTACATTACCAACACTTTATGTACCCCCTAGTAGTGTGTTAAAGGCAATTTTCTTTGTATCCGTTGACATGGAAATTGACGAGGTTTGCTAAATCGACCTAGGAATCAGATAACTGCCATCATCTTTCAGACTAAAGGCAGCTTTTTCTCCAGCCTTCACAAAGGGTTTCAAGGGACAAAGGGTTCTGGTTTCTTTAACTTTCTTTGTTGCTACTGACATCTAGTGGACAGTTCCTATCATAAAAGCTTTAAGTGGAGAAGAAAAAAGAACACAAAAGCTGTGAGATTTTCTCACCATGACTGAGTCAAAAAATAAAATACTACACCTTAAACACAAAAGCCAAAGCATTAATAATGGTCTCCTTTTCATCTCTTATGTAGCACTATTGAGAGGCCATAGACCTCATGGTTTCCACGCATTTAACAATAAAAAATGACAAAATATATGTTATTCAAATAGTCTTTTTTCCCCCAGTTTTTAAAATTCTATTTTTACATAAAATCATATATTAAAAGCGTTTGAACTTTAATGAAGCATGAGCAACAAATTTTACAACAAACCTGACTTTAACAGTCAGGTTTGTTTCTGATTTGTTCGATTGGTAAAAAGGCTGTTTGGCGTCTAAGCACCAGGATTTAGATCACTATTCCTGCTAATAGGGATTACATAAAACAATTGGTTGTTATTTTGGCAATGAATTACCTTAAGAGGTTATGCTCAATTTAAGGATTACATGTCAAGATTGAAAATGTCCAAATAAAGTGATGAAAATAAAAATGTGAGAGGATGTCTTTAACAATAATCGCTGCAAATGGCCACTTATATAGCTAAAGATTTTTATCCTTTAGAGAACGGAATATTCAACATAATATTCAACATAACATAATTCAAAAATTCAAAGATTGCCTACTTAGATTTTCTTTTTTTTTTAATTCCTGGAAACATATAAAGCAAATTGCAGAGTGTCTCTGAACCCTGAAGGTCAAGACTGCTAGATTACTTCTGAAATAAAACGACATTCAATTTCAGCTTTAATGACACTTTCTATAAGTTGCTTTAAGAGCTGCTTACCACCTAGAAATGACTAACTCGGTGAACAAGATACCTGCCCCAGTAAAACTACATTTGCAACTATAAAATCAGAGGTTGAGCATTCAGCAGTATTTTCCCGTTGCTGTATCTGCTTCCTTCAAGGCTAAAGCGATCTGTTGTTAGCTGTGATCGCTCTGCCACTCACCCTGTGACTAGTATTGCATTACATTATTCCCATTTTCAGAGCTGAAGCTAGGGACGAAAGACCCCTAAAATTAGCAAGATGGGTACCCTGTCTCCACCACTGCCCAGCAGCAGTGACGTTGATTGCCGTCTATTTATACTCTGGGAGTCCAGGAGAAAGATCAAGTTTCTGTTATGCTTTATTCCAAGATTCTCAGGTTTAAAGTGAGTTGTGTAAAGCCTGGAAAAGGAAAGCTGAAATGTGAGGTCACAGCTCATTGTTTAGTAACATACACTCCAATGGGATGGAGACAAATTAAAATAAACATACATCATGGTTAACTTTTTAGCTTCTGGCATCATATGATAAACTGACTTTGTTGTATTAAATATTAGATTCAAATGACGTATGTGATTCTAGCCAAAAAAGGGGATTATAACTGGATGGCAGTGGTTTCAACTGTATCGAGTTGAAATTAGTTTAATTATATATCACTACCTTTGAGCTGGACCTGAAATTTTTCTTTGTCACAACAAATAATCGAATGCAACCATTTCATTGCAATTCCTGTGAATCCTATAATATCCTACTAAAAATAGAATAAAATACTAAATATATATTTTCCAAGTAGGCTGAAAACAACACAGAAACACATATCTTTTGATTCTGAATTTTATTCAGGCCTCTCCAAAACACTTCAGCTCTTAAGCAACCATCGGGTAAATCAATATGTTCAGTAAGAAAGGCAGCGTCAGCTCAGAGTCTGACTGTAACGACTCCAGGATTTATAGAGCCGCTGGGTGTGCATTCAGTTTCAGTACATCTGGAATAAATACAAGATCAAAAAATTTAAGTCTTGTGGTTGTAAGACTAAGATGCAATAATGGCTGAAGGAGCCATCTGTTTCATGTCTTTGATCTTCTTTTGAGCTTAAAGGGAAAAAAATTAGGACTCTTTCCTAGACACACAAATTGTCAGTTTTAATCCCTAATAACAGTCTGAAGCGGTCTTATTGACATTCAGCCGAACACATTAGCTCGCGATGCAATTACAGAAAGAAAATGGATGTAGATATACTTCAGGCTTCTGAGTATTAAACAATTTGCTATGAAAGGATGGGAAAACTAAGAAGGCATTCTTAGTTAATAGTTTATAAACTCAGAAGATGGCAATTTACTGAGAATGCATAAGCCTAAGTCAATTGTCTCTTACTCTATAGGATAAGTATGTGCTATTCCAGAAAAAAAAAAAAACTTCTAATTGGAATAAAACAGATTGCGTTGGTTAGACACACCAACAGTTTGTTGCAGCGTGTTTCAATCAAAAACATTATCTCCGTATAAATAATTGTTCTACAGGCTGACAAGGAGTATCACAGTCTTAAGACACCAAAGTTACTAGTCCTCCGATACCGTTAAGTCTTTTTCTTTTATTACTCTTCCTTAGATGTGATTGCTAAACATTTTTTTGCTTTAAATCAGATCAAAGTCAGTAACAGTGTTTGGCACAGGAATCTGAACCTCTTCCCAATATTAAACAGACTTAAGAGTAAAAACTTTCTAGAATGAGAACTGACTTTGTTTTAATAAAAAGATGAACAAAACAAGAATTGAACTATTAACCAAACTACATTTTCATGCATTTTACCTTAATACTTTGATCGAATATTTTAATTGCTGAAGCTCGTATTTCCAAAAAGCCTGAACATAGCGTGATGCTCCTCATTTTAACTAGTCAAAAGTTTAAGTCCCAAGTAAAGTCAAAAGTTTCGCCCAGAGTCCAGATATGAAAGGATTGAGTCAAGTTCCAGGTCCTAAGCTTTGTTTTTTTTTTTAGGCTAGTTTACAAACCATATTAGTAATACCTAATTGGGTATTTATTTGCCAGAAAAGTCTGCAATAACCAGTGGTGCTACTCGGTTTTTACAAACAACAAAAGGAATGTTATGCCTGGACTTAAAAACTGTTTTCTAGCGATTGCTTTTTGAAACACCGGATAAAGAAAGCATGTTTTTTGTAAGGCTAATGTTAAAGTGACACTGTATGTTTTGACCAAATTATAAAAACTGAATATTACAAATTTCTAATAATGAAGTTTAGACTGAATTCTTATGTCACTTTGAATTCAGAACTTTTCGGAATATCTTTAAATTTTTTCAAACTAAAAAAATAAGAAAAAATATCTTTATATTCTTCATGTTTGGCATTTTTTTGTTCTCAAGCCAACATAGACATATGCTAGCTCTAATAATAAAATTCTGGGTGTCATTTTGATCACAGCAGCTCTTTAAGATTCTCTTGTGCAACAAAATTACATGTTTTAGAGTCTGGAAAATGACTATAATATCAGAAACTAATAAAAGCTAACATTGGTTAATATTAGAATGATGAGGGACAAACTTTTACAAAACTAGATGTTTTCTTTAAAAAGTTAACTTTTTTGAGGCCAAAATGCTCCAGTCGAAGTCCAGTGAGAAGTTACTAGCACTGAGTTCTAAGTCCAGGTCAAGTCTTAAGTTTAAAGTCATTACATGTGTGACCAAAGTCTGCAGCCCTACCAGAAATGTTATCAGCTTAACATATTTTTTCTTTTATGAATCACATTAAAATCAAATCCAGATCTGAAGCAGAATACTTCCAGGTGATGTAGGTTTATTGCTATGCTTTGGTCTGACACGCTTGTTAGAACCAGAGGTGGAGATGATAATCAGCAGAGAGGGTTTTGTTAAAGGGGAAGTCAGTGGAGCTCAATGAAAGCCTCCATCTCCTCAGAGATCAGTCCCCTGTAGGGCAGCCTGTGCTTTTCGATCGCACGAGCTGCCAGGCACTGAAGGGTGATGTAGTTCAGCGGGTAGAGTGCAGGGTGGCCGCTGCTGTGCTCGTCCAACAGCTCATAGGCGGTTTTCCTCCGAGCGTTCGTCGCGTCAAAGTGGGCCCCCGCCTTCACAAGCAGAGCCATGATCTCTGGACAGCCATTGTTGGCGGCAATGTGCAGCGGGGTGTTATTGTCGCAGTCCCGCGAATCAACATCTGCGCCGCACTCTAGGAGCAATGCGGCCACCGCATAGGAGGGGAAACGGCCCACTGGGTAGCGGCCCACAGATGTGGTTTCTTTGTCCACGGCCATGTGGAGCGGAGTGAATCCGTTCCGACCTCTGGGGTTGAGCTTGAGCAGCCGGTAGACCGTGTGCTTCTTTTGGTGCTCCTGCTCGGGGCTGCAGTCCAGCTTTTCTAGTAAAAAGATGAGGTGGAGGATGATGGAGAGCGCTTTATTGAATTGAGGGGCTTCTGGGGGGTTCTCTCTCTGTGCCACAGCCCTTTCAACTTCCCTCACACTTTTCCCAAGCACAGTCATCAGATCCTGAAAGGTAATGCGAGTCGACAGGGTGCCTTTAGCCCTGTCCTGAAGAACAAAGGAGAAAAGTTCTGCAAAGGACAGGAAACTGGAGGCGGTCATTGGGCTGAGGGGGTCCAAGTTGCTTTGCTGCATGTCTAAAGCATACTTCCACAGACTGATGCAACGCTCAAAGTTGCCAGAGTCGGCGTACACAGCTCCTCTGTACCGAATGTAATAAGATGTATCTGGGTGGGATGGCCCAAGGATGCGCTCACGAACCAGCAAGGCCTGCATCCTCATTTCATCAGGATCTGTGATTAAAGCCTCCAGCTCCTCTGCAGTGCTCACCTCCTGCGCACAGCCATAAGCAGGGATGGGGGGACCAGGCGGAGGCTTGGAGAGGGAGCCTTCTTTATCACCAGTCTGCCTCAGCTCCATTGCTCTCCTCCAGTATCTCATGGCTCCTAATAGATCACGCTTTTTGTCCACAAACGTCGCCCCCAACAGCTCCAGAGCATCGATGCGCTCCTCTCTGGAAGTGCGAGGCTGGTGAGCCAGATACTCCACAATGTTAGTGTGACCGGTGACACTGGCAGCCAGGAGGGGGGTCATCCCATATCCATCCCTCTCCATGCGGGCGTTGCACTTCAGCAGCATCTTCATTATGTCCAGACTTCCAGATTCAGCGCAGTCATGAAGAGCCGTGTTTCCCTTCACGCTCTTACGGTTCACGTCAGCTCCGCGGTCCAGCAGAAACTTCGCTATCTCTTTGTGGCCCTTGTAGCAGGAGATCATGAGGCAGGTATGGCCGTGGCGGTTCGCGACCTCCATGTCGGCGCTGTGCTCCACTAGATAGCGGACTATCTCTAGGTGGCCGTCGAAGCAAGCTGCTCTGAGCGGGGTGGAATTTGTAAGCGTGGCGTTGTTCACCGAAGCTCCGTGTTTCAGGAGCGTCTTCACCACAGGGAGGTGACCCGCTGCCGAAGCTGCCCACAGCGGCGGAGCTCCCTCGATAGTCTCCCCGTCAAAGTTAACCGAACCTCCGATTTCAACATTAGCTTTACAATGTTCGAGCAGGTAGTCTACCACCTCTAAGTGTCCGTATCGGGATGCTATGAGCAGCACGGTGCTTCCCTGGGTTTTCTCCTCCGCTAAAGCCTCCAGCTCCTCAGGAGTTTTGTTGCTCAGCAACTTCTGGATAAGTTTCAGCTTACCATCTCTGGCCGCGTTAAAAACCGCCACGGTTATATCCATTTTATAGGTTCTGGGCTACAGCACCGCTCACCAACTCCATGCCCATGTACTTATTGAAGAAGTGACGAAACTGGTTTGAAGTGGCAGAGTTCCGTATTCTTAATTTGGACCCAGTTTCTGACACATCTTTCTGCCATTTTGAGGTTACTGTCAAGATGGCGTTCGTGCTCTTTGACAGGTCTCTGTTTACTGGGGGACCTCAGAATTCTGGGTAATGTAGTTTTTAGCTACATAATAAGTAGCGCTGGCTAGTGCGCATGCTATATGTCTAAACTACATTTCCCATGAAGCAGGGAGTAAAATTAACAACAGCTGACGGCCTTCTTTGTTATGGTTGTTGGAACCAGCAATTAGCTTTGTCTCCATCTGACAGTCAGCTGGTGACAAACTCACAAAACAAATAAGTTTTTATAGCAACAATATTAAATAATTAGGCCTGCAAAAAAAAAAAAAAAGAAAAAAAAAATCAGTATTGTTTTCGAATTTTTCTTATTTATTTAATATAATATAATATAATATGATAGAGATTAATTAAAACTGTGCACACAGACATTAAAACCTGTGCTCCAATCCATTTAACCGTAGAGCCCCTAACAGTCCTTCCTGATATACATTTTAGTCATGATAATAAAGCCTTTTTCTACTAGACTGAGATGTAAGTGAACAGCTAACATCTAAAAATGGTTACCAACCCTGCAGGAATTGCCCCTTAACAATAACACAAAAGCTTGAACATAGTTGACCTTAAAAAAGGGAAAATATCCAAAATAAATTTTTACATTTTAAAGAATGTAGAATATGCATTAAAGATTTCATTGACAGTACAATTTGAAAGTTTTAGAAACATCTATTTTTGTATTTTTTTGCCCTTTTTCTTTTCAGTTTAAGGTCTTGTTTACTCTACGGTTTGTATAATTTTGAAATCTAGATTTTCTTTTTAGTATTAGGTGACCTTACCATTGTTTTTACCTATGTAGTTCAGCACTTACATTTATTAAATTTCAAAGAATTTAATGACCTTTAAGAACTTAAACTAAATAAATGAAAAAATTAGGTCACTTAAAATGTCTGACTGGTAGCGCATAATGTGTTTTTGAATGTACAATATTTTAAATGAATACAAAAATATCAAAATAAGTTTAGAGACATTTTGATATATACATATATTTCAAAACGGATAACAAAAAAAGAAAAACATGCAGCAGTCCTCTTTTAGACAGCTGCCCAGCAATATGTGTGGGAGGGGTTCTGATGTAACTCTATGCTCATTTGAGCTGGAGAGCACTCTGGCTACTCCGGCATTTTTTTCAGGTATCTTATCAAAATAACTTCAAGCATTAGTAACATCATGACAGAAGCATTTAACGACTTTTGAAACATCCAGACCAAATCAAACTTAAGGTTAAAGGTTTATTGATGCTTTTATGTATTTTTGTCTTTCTTTTGTGTAGCAATAATGAAATGCACACAATTAGGACATTTTTTATATATAGATACTGATAAGAGCAATAATTGGCTTTCCGTAATAAAGCCCAATTTATTTTGCTTCCAGCCTCATTTTAATATTTAATTTTGGACCCTTCGAAATTTAATATCTTATGTGATACTTTGGTATTAAATTATAGCCACACATTGACTAATGTGTTTTATTAAGCTGCAATAAAAATAGAAATAAAAAAACTACACTGCATACTTCCATTCCAGAGCAAAACATACTATGGTGTGAAGTGCTTCACAAGGTTGGAGCAGCTAATAATGTTCTTTTGGAATATCACATCTTAGCTAGGAGCATGCTTGATATGATGAAAACATGTAATATTTAAGAAAACATTTTATAGCTAAAAATATAAATAGGAAAAATAATGATAGAGAGGGAAGGGAAAGCAAAAGCAGAAAAAACAAAGTAAAAGTACAAAGCATAGGAAGAAACCTCAGCTCTCAGTTAAGAGAGGTAATATGAGATAGGTTACACATTGTGCTTGACCAGGTTATCCTTGTTTTGAATTTGAGTTTTTATTGGAAGGATCCCCATTAGCTACAGCTATGCTGCAGCTATTCTTCCTGGGGTCCTTAAAAATATATACATTAAAAATGAAAGGGAAAGAAAATACACAAACACATATACAAACACATATACAATATATACACATATCAACATACATTTGTGCCCTCATGCGGGCATCAAATATACACAAATATAAAAACACATTCTACACTTAAACCTGTAAACATACCAACACATATACATACATATTCGCACACAAATATAAATAAATATAACATTCAATTATATTATTTTGATAGATGCTGTTTTACATATAATTTAAATGTATTGACATTATTAGCAAGCAGGTTATGTTTTGGCAGATTATTCCACTCATTCATACCTCTAAACACAACAGTATTTTTTATGGCATTTGTTCTCACTATGGGTAAAGTGAAATTTCCTTTAGTTGCATGTCTAGTACTGTAGTGGTGATTTTCTATACTGAAAGAAAGATGCTTGAACAAAACAGAAGGACATTTTGAATTAGAAATATTTCTTATGAAAAATTAATGAATACAACAATCTGTCTTCGACCAACAACCAGTTAAGATCTTTGTGCATTAATATTATATTTCTCCTGTAGCTGCACCTGAGTGCTAGATGAGCAGCTCTATTCTGTATAAGTTGAAGTTTATTCATATATTCCTCAGTGGTGTTTGACCAAACTGCTTTGCAATAGTCGAGGTATGTCAAAATTAGTGCTTTAATCGCATAATTCCTATAAGTATTAGTGAAAATGGTGATAAAAATTAACAGTCTATGGATTTTCGATGGATCGGGACCATTTTCACTAATACTTAATGTAGCACTTTCATCAGTATCGGCACTGATACAGATATTAATATCGGTTTGGTGCATGTATTGAAGAGGAGCATTGTATTTCAAAGTAGGCCAGTTGCCCATGGTAACTCTGGAGGAGAGCGACAGTGGCGTTGGATGTAGGCGTTTGCCCTGAAATCGAAGGGTTGACGGTTCAAGCCCCGACTCCGACTTTCAGTGTTGTTGTGTCCTTGGGCAAGACACTTCACCTGCATTGTCTCCTGATGGTGGTCAGAGTTCCCGGGGCGCCAGTGTACGGCAGCCCTGCTTCTGTCAGTGAGCCCCAGGGCAGCTGTGGCTACCATGTAGCTTGTCACCATGAGTGTGTGCGTGAATGGGTGAATGAATGTAGTGTAAAGCGCTTTGGTCAAGTCTGCTGTCTTGAATAAAGGCGCTATATAAGTACATGCCATTTACCATTTGTAAGAGAGAGAGAGGAAGAACAAAACCTAAAGGAAATCATGTTTTCTGTTTGTCACATTATTCCAAAAAGGAAGAAATTAAATATGATAAACAAACTCCTTTGTGTTAGTCTAATACCAAATAATCCTCTACAAGAACATCATATATATTTATTGATTTAGTTGTTTAGAGTTTGTTTATTTATGCCATTTATTTTGTGTAGCTTCTCCCCTGCAGTCTTTGGCTGAGAGCTGGAGGGGTTGCTATCCATTAGGACTGCACTTAAAAGCAGACAGAAACAGGAAGGACAAACAACCATACATCCACACATGCTTTCATGACTTATGGGGATATTACATTGACTTACATTCATTTTATATGACCTTGCCCAAACCCTTACCATTGCCAAAATATACCTAATCCTACAGTAGTCTGAACTGGATTCACACCTTAGTCCTAAACCTAACCACAGCTCAAAGAAGAGAACTTTATCGTATGGAGACCACGTTTTTGGTCCCCATAAGGACATATGGCTGACTGTGACAGTGTAAATGGATTACAGTGCACACACCATGAAACACAGACGATGTGTGCCTCATATGAACTGAATGAACATGCAAATCCTATTCTAATCCATGACTTTCTCACTGGTGCTTTGTTAGCTCCTAATTGTAGGTTTCACAACAAAAACTCAGAAACAAAAACATGCCTGTGTCTGATTAATTAGACAAAAACCCTTCGAGTCGTTTTCAGCAGGATGTTTGAGTTTAAGATCTCAGTTGTATTTTGCATCACAAAAACTGTGAACTACAGAGACAAAAATAATGATTACATTTTCCAGTTTTATCCCTTTGCTTGCGAGATCTGTGAGAAATTAAGCTGTCCTGAATGGGTGCTTCTTGAGACTTATGCCTGTACTTCAGAAGTTAATAGAGTTGGTGAAACATCACCCTCTGGGGCACAAGCCTGATTGTACTCTGAAATTCCCTTTTTCTTAATGTGATTTCTTTTCTCTCTTTCCCAGGGTTGTAGTGTCTTTTGGGGTTTAAAGTGTCCCCATGTCCATTAACATCGAGCTAGGCAAATAAAATGTCTTTATTACTTATCAATATTGCAGAGCTCTCAGAATGTCAGTTTGCTCCTTCACCAGCAGAGGACGTATAACACCCACATTAGGATGATTCTCCTTATTGCTCTGCACATTTTATCCAGTATACACATGTTGTGTGGGAAAAAATTGATTTCTGTATATGAACTCTAATGATGAGGACATCAGTCTACAAAGATCAGTTATTGTAGAACTAGGATGCTCTAGATTGCCACCCTTATCATCTATTTAAAACTCACTGGAGAAATGCTTGAATCGGATGTGTGATTTTAAAATTAAACAGGGATTTTGAGTGCTCTCAGAGACAATATTGTTTGCAGATAACCACAAAAATGCTCCACGCATGACACCCAGCTTTTGTACGTCTCAAAGGATGCAGCCTCTGAGCTGTTTGCGAATACAGGAAGCTTTTGTTGGAACAAAGCAGGCTTTTAACCATTGTTATTGCCTTTTATTGGTCCACAGAAATGACTAAAAGAGAATCCTCCGAAGACAAATATGCAGATTGGAATAAATATTACCTTGCCATTTTCTTTTGTGTGTGTTTTTTATTGGTTCTGAAATAAATCACATTGCATCAGTCATATTTGCAATACAAGTCAATCAAATGTAGTCTGTCATGAACACAGAGGCATTTTTTAATTGCAGAGCGACATGCAAAACTTTTGTACGCAATATTAAGATTTATTACAAAAATACAACTTCAAGTTACCCAAATCAGCTGAGAAGAGCTACATCAGAGAGGGACGTCACCTTTTGGAAATCAAGAAAAATACACAAATACCGCTCTGCCATTCACAATGCTCACATACCAGCAAGCAAAGTAAGACTGCATGACTTTGTTAAACTTAACTACTCATGACAACAGAGAGTCTGTCGACATACACAGCACAGTGGGCAAGATGCAGCTCCCTTGTCATCAGTATGCTGCTTGTTGCCCAGTATCCGGTAAGGTGGGATGAAAAGGTCGGCAGAGGGGAGGCGAGCCGCTAGCTTTCACCTCAGCATTGACAAGGCCTCCCTAGAGGTTTGCGAGCAGCTCACTGAGCAGCACCTCCCTCTCTCCAAGAAGCACGTCTCTCTTCAGACTGGTTCCTTTGTTCACAACCTTTATCTTCATGGCCAGACTCTTCACTTGTGCTTGGGGCAGTGCATCAAAAAAAAAGTCCTCATTGAACACCGGGTTCCTGCTGTTCTTGATGATGGTGCTCCTTTGTTTCTGCTGCTTTCCTGGGTTCAGGTAGAGCGCCACACAGCAGTTAATGCTTTTCAGGTCCGTCTGACGGTTGTAAAGGGCCTCGGCGGCGAGTACACGCACCCTCAGGCGGGAAGCCTCAGGGTCATAGTGGGTGCTAAGCCTCAGGGTCCCCCCTTTGTGGAGGTTGATAGTGTGCTCACGCTGCAGTAGATCTGAGGCTGCACCCCTGGAAGTGCCTGCTTTGGCTCCACGAAAGGCTGGAGATGGGGGGCAGCGCGTGCGACGGCGCTGCATGTTGGGGCTGTTGTCGGCCGAACTGCATTCGTCAGTGGAGAGAGAACTGTGGCGTGCCAGGGAACGTCTTGCACGAGATACCTATAGGGAAAGTTAAAAAGCAGCATGTGAATATACTATAGGATTTGCTGCAAACTTCATATCATCTAGCTTAAGAAAAAAAAGGAAGTGATCACCTTTGCCTGTGTTTCCTGGGTAATAGATCTAAGAAGGGAGGCAGACCTGGAGAGGAGGGGGGAGTTAAATGGGGAGGACTCAGCGGAAGAACAGGTGTCACTCTCTCCTCCACTGAAGTAGCGGTAAGGATTGGGGTCAGCCGGGGCCAGCAGAGTCCCCCCTTGGGAGCGCCTCTGGGAGTTTGGAGAGGTGAGGGGGCTGCTGGGATCACTGTGAAACAGGCTCTCCTTGCGTCTAGTGTGAGGAGACTCCACCAAAGTGGAGAAGCCGTAGGAGGTCTGAGCCTTGGGGACGTATGGAAGGGACATTGCAGTCTGTGACTGGGGGTCAGCATTGGTGTTGACTTCGGCACTGAGCCTGTCAGTGACACCGGTGCCCGGCTCATCCGCACTTTCTATCTGGATGATGTGACGGTTGGCAGACTTTTGCAGGTTGCGGGAGAACATGCGAGGGCTGCAGATGTTCTTGCTGCTCCGAGCTCGTGGGCTCTGGCTACAGATGGCATGGTCAGAGGAGGAGGGTCTCAGGTTGGCACGGTGCTTGGGCTCTGGGCTGGTGGATTCCTCAGGGGGACAGCAGATAAGTTTGGGTGGGATGAAAAAATCAGGGATCCTTTCGGGAGTGAGCACATTGGCATAAACAGCAACGGGAATGGCCTCTGCTGTCTGCGGGGGCTGGGAATGTGTCCCACTGCTCTCAACAGAGCTGCGGAGCTTCTCCAGCAACCACATGCCCACTCAGACGCCTCAGCTCACAGCTGAGTGAAACACAAAAAAGACGTCAAATAAACAAACAGCTGAAAAAAAGTATCTATTTGTTTTATTCAAAATTAAATATATATACATATATATGCAACCGCTTTTGGCATTTACTCATATTTAGTTACTTTAACACAATTGTTTATTTACCTGCCCTGCTAACATGAAGCAATTGTGTTAAAGAAACTCAATATGATTAAATAAATGCCAAAAAACGGTTGCATTACTTTTTTCAGTATATATATATATATATATATATATATATATATATATATATATATATATATATATATATATATATATATATATACTCAAACAATATGAGTATAGGTTAACAAAGAATATATAATACATATGGATTTTTAAGAATCCATATGAAAGAATAATGACCTAAAATATAAAATATCAGTATATATATCAAAATATACATCGATATAAGTAGTTCATTATTGCAATCTTTAAATAAAAACAAAAAATTATGAATATTATGAACCGAATTAACTCTACAGCAAACAGAATCCGTCAACAGCACATCAAAAAGCAACACATTTAAGAACAATAAACTTAACATGATCAAAGTATTCATCTCCATTAACTACAATAATAACTGTAGTTATTTCGTAGTTTGCTTTTTTTGTGTTTTTTTTCTTTCTGGTAAACTGTTTTAGCAGCTCGAATATTTATTAGACTTCAGAAATGAGGTATTGGGAAAAAACAAACCATTTCCTGTCTAAATAACTTTTCCTCCACCTAAGTATATAATTGTTGTACTTTAGATTTCAAACTAACCCACCTGTTGCTGTGAACTCTATTTCCTCTCCTGACGAAGAAGAAAAAAAGCAGAATCCGTTGCAAACTCTCTAAGCTCTTGGTGCGTAAAACCGTCTGGATGAAACGCGCTCCTCAGCGCTCCTCGGCGGGAAGGGGGGGCTTCCAGATCAGACAGCCTCTCTTTATACCGCGGGGTCCTTGACTTGTGAGCCAATGAGGAGGTTGTGAAGCCTTCCCATACCATTAACCATAAAACTGTTGTCAGCGCAGGCACGCGCTGGAAAAAAAGAGGGAAAAAAGGAGGAGAGCTTCAGCTGTTTTCTTGTCTCCCATAAACTGCTCCCAGATTTCTACCTCGATGATTTAGAGCAGAAACTTGTTGATTGGACTTGATGTCCTTTTTTTTCGTTCAAGAGTACAATTTTCCACTTGAGGGAACCAGAAAACACACAACATTGTAAGACTTGCTTTTAAACTGACAATTATGTGAAGAACAATATGTTTCTTCTTACTATAAGCATTTATATTTACACATAATTGTTTTATTTCTTTAAGTGCGAACATGGTGACAAAGAATGTAGGAAAATAAAATCACAACTGCGGCGTAAAGAGTATTAAACCAAGGATAAAAACACAGATCTTTTCTCTACAAGTCAAAACAATGAAGTCATCACTGGAAAAAGTATAACCTTGCTCTAACTAAAAAAAAAAATGATGTCCAGATATCACATCTAAAATATTTGACTTCACAAAATCTGAATTAAGTCGCTTGTTATGACCTGATAATATTATGTTGATGTAAACAATAAAACCGCACTTCACACAACTTAAAGTCTTTGCCCTGCTCCAAATGATTTTCTTAACATTTCAGCTGATGAACCAAACTAATATATTGACATTGGACCAACCTAATATACTTACTTTTAACTAAATTAACAAGAATTAGTGTTTGTATAGAAACCAGTTAATTTAAATATACCCAAATTATATTTTTCGCATGTGAGAATTTAGACAAGCCAATCAACCTATCAATCATGTTTTTGGATTGTGGGAGGAAGCTGGAGTACCTGGAGAGAACCCACGCATGCTCAGGGAGAACATGCAAACTCCATGCAGAAAGATCCTGGGCCGGGATTCGAACCCGCAACCTTCTTGCTGCAAGGCAGAAGTGCTCGCTAGGACTTGGACTTGATTAAGCCCTGAGACTGCATGCAAAGCGCAGTTCACAGTTGACTCAAAAAAATAAAAAATAAAAAATAAAAATTAACTGCAGGCCATGAATACATATATACGTATTGAGAGAAATCAAAAACTTTGTTTTGGATCCTTTCTACGTGTATTTAGTTCAGGTTAAATCAAACTTGATGTCTCAAAATCCAAAAAGAATGATTTCCATAAATAAATCAATTATTTTATCTAGAGTGAAAAACATTAGTTTGTTACATGTTACAATTTTTTCAGTGATGAATACATGACGGCAAGGTAAAAAAAAGTAAAAATCCGTCTTAAAAAGGCAACACAGTACATATTGTTTTTCCTCAGATTCACAGTTACTATATGCCCTGGATTTTATGGTCTATAACTTAAAATCCCAATAAGATATTCTACCCTTAATGTCTTTTCTATGCTCTGTAAATCAACCCAGATTTGCATACTACTTCAATCAGTTTGGTAATCTGTCAGAGCAGCTTTGTAGCAGAGACAGAATGACACAATATGTCTGTTAAAGTCTCTACAGTTGTCTTCAGATAGTCATGTTTTCATAAAATCAGGCAGTTTATCCATAAATCTTCTCGTCGCTGTCATGCTGCTGACTTTGATACACAGCTAGAGTGGGTCCCACATGAGCACTCAGCTTTCCACACCCTGCTGTTCTCCTTACTGAAAAACTCTGACAAACACCTGTAGCAAAAGTTTTCCTCTATAGTTTGGATGCGAGCTCTGGAACAGTCCCCCTGCTGATCTAAAGGTAATGCAGCAAAAGCCTTTTTCTTTTCTTTTCTTTTTTTTTTTTTGGTTTTGTATAAATGTTAGAGCTGCAACAGCCTGTCACTGAAAAAAATGGGAAACAACTCTACATTCTGTTACAAAAAAAAACGTATTTAAATTGATTACTATGTTAAATAACAACAAGAAAAATGTGTCCAACCAGGGGCACCTGCAGAAAGTTTTGTGGTCAGTTTGGGGGCAATTTACAATTTTGAAATGACACACAGATGTAGGCTTTTAGACTTCGACAACTTTTATTGTCATTTTGTATACACAGAGTGTATTCTAAACGAAAGTTAATTTTGTGCAGCTTTCCAGACGGCAAATGAACATTTCCATTCCATAAAGTGCAGCAGTGATGAAATATAAACAGTGTGGGAGAAAAAAAACATGGTGCGCATTGTTATGGAAGTTGAGAGCATTAATATATATGGTGCAAATATGCAATATTTTTGGTTTGGTGTTATTAGTGTGATGCAGAGTCTGTTAGAGTTTTTCAACAGTTCAGCTGTCTGATGGCGGTGGGGAAGAAACTGTTTTGGAATCAGCTGGACCTGCATTGAATGCTGCGAAGCCTCCTCCCAGATGGCAGCAGGGAGAGCAGTCCATGGTGGGGGTGTGAGGGGTCATTGATATTTTTTACGGGCTTTGGACATGCAGCGCTGGGATAAAATATCTTTTTTAACCAAAGTAATAATATTCTAATTGTTTTGATATGATTTATAAGACTTTCCTGAAATTGTTTTTCTCCTTTTTTACAGTCATTTTCAGAATGACTGTCAAAACTTTATGCTCTGCCAAAAACACCCCAAAAGCAAATAAAACAACCACACGTGGTAATGAATTTTATTTCAATGTCTTCATTCTTCAACCAGCTTCTGTTTGGAGCAAGCCAGAAATGTATTCAACCCACAGCCTGTTTTGTCAGGTGTTAAACACGGAGGTGGATCTGTCATGGTAGGAGCAGCCATCTCGTAGGAGTAATTTGGACCAGTCAGTGTTCCACAAAAGATTTTAACATGGCCAAAAAATGTGAAAACAACCTACAGAACAATGATTTAACAATTATTGTCTAAAATTCCCCTGTCCCAAAGCCAGTGATAGTCATTGTGCATTCAGAATGAATGGATTATAGAACGACAGTGCTAAAAGTTTTTATTTCCTTGTATCACAGTAGGTCTCCATATGTGTTATTAGTCTGCAGTAGTTGTTCTTTGCACAATCAGCTTAAGACTTTTCTAAATTTAATGTATGAATATGGATTCTGTATAATCCACCAAATAATTGATATGAATGATTCACTTTAGCAGTTCATAATTTGCGATTTTTTAAATTACATTTACATCCTTCGCACATTTCTTAATAAAACTACCTTTAACAGCAGCTCAAGTGTTTAGGAGGGGGTGACTGTAAAGGGAACTCCAGCTCCTTTAGTTTCTTCTGTACCGCTTGGAAAAACAGTCTAGCAACAAGTATTGAAAAGCAAGCAAGACTAGATAATATTCTTCTTATTAACTTATGATGTTTAATAAAATAAAACAAAAATAAGAGAACATCCACATTCTTATAATAGAAACATGGTCAAAAACTGTGTTGCCTCCACCATATCTGTTTTCCCCTCTGTTCTTACCTACAGTACGTACAAGTAAACAAAAACAAACATGTATAGAATTACAGCATGCAGGAAGCCCCAAAATATGCATTATAAATTGCATTTCTATATTCTGTGATTTTAATATTAGAGTTTGTAAACTTAAGTTATAAAGACCAAAGCTGTGACTTTGAGATTTTCAATCTCTGTGCATTTTTTTTGTCAAAGATATGTTTTGATTATGAATTTGTGATGTTTACAAATCAGAGCTTCATTTATAGCTCATAGAAATTTCTTCATGTTATGATAATAATGAGGACGTCATGGATGCCTCTCAAATTAAATTTTTTTATCAAATCACTCAGGGTTATTTTAGAACATGATAAAGTTAACTTATCTCAGGCATCTATTACTCTCTCTTACTGCGACCCTAGCTGTGACGTTACACAGGTGCTGCAGCAAAATGAAACCATTTCCTGTTCTGTTCATTCACAAACTCCACATTTCCTCCTCACATTTCACTTTACTGTATTATCTTGTATTTCATAGCATTCCTAGCCAAATGTTGAAAGCAGAGGATTTAAATGTAGATGATGTAAATTATTTTGAACACAGTATCCAGTAATTTAAATTAGTTTGCAATCCAGTGAGGAGAAGAAAGTCCTTTAAACTTGATCCAGTGCAGTATACTGTATAGTGAAGAAGCGAGCGATATTAACAGATAACGTAACACAAGTTAAGTCATTCCGAATTTAAAAAAGAAAAAGATACTTTTCAGTAATAACCTACCTAATATCTTTTTACACACTAACTTGGGGAAAATGACTTGTGAGGACCTAATGAAAAATGTGGACTTTTGCTTCTGCTTCTTTTCAAACAAACAAGAAGAAACAAGAAAGCTTTTAGTTTTTTAGTATTTTTGTTTTATATTTCTCAATAACTATATTGATATTACAAATTTTAAATTCAACAAGTTTATGGTTCTTAAAAAATATAAACAATAATGTATTTTAGGGGGTTTCCCTTATTTAACAATGTGAGTTTTTTGCTTCTATATTACTCAGAGTTTAATAATAGCAAAGATGTTGCTTTTGTTCATTTGATTCTTAATGTCAGTTTCAGAGTTTTTAAGCCTAACTTTATTTCTTAGGCACTATGAAGAACTGAACTTGTGTGGCAATTGCCCTGTTTTATTAAGAAGTGGCTCTCTTTGTGGGGAGAAGAAACTCAGCACTGCATTTTGAGATTATGTAAAAATCTATAAAACATTGATTTTTGGAAATTGTATATCCGTACTTGAACAGAGTTACTTCCTTTTTCTTAAAAATTTAAATATGAAAATGTACAGGTAGGTCTTGTGGTTTTATTTCATATTTATCTAAAAGTGGAGTTCTCCAAAAGTTTGTTTAAGAATGTGACCAAAAATGTTGTATATTACCACTAAATGTACCTAATAATTCAGAGATATCTGAATAAGATAATTAAGCCAGTTGTTGCTGTTTAATTTTAGACTAGTTACTGATTTTAAACTTCAAATCCACATAATACATCGACATAGAAGCAAAATC